AAACCTTGGAGTATTTGCAGTTCGTTTTTTTTTTTCTATCCAATCATAGACAAAAATAACAGAAAATGAAAAAAAACACATCCAAGACGAGAAAATGGTTTGGTCCGAGTATAAATATGTGCGTCAAATGAGGTCCATTTCAGGTCATGGACCTAGAGCATGCGCAGAACCTGAAACGCATGCGTATATTTCGCTTCATTATTACAACCAACTGCTATGCCATACTACTGTCTGATTATCAATTTGTATTTAATGGTGAATGCAGTCTGACGCCATGATCAATATTTATCAATTAAGTTTCAGTGGGGGGTTTTGGGAAAAAACTAAAAGAATTAAGTTTTTTATCCGACATCGATCTTTTGACGTCATCCCTTAGTGAGTGACATTATTTGTACGGCAATTAGTTATTGATACAACAACACAACTGAAACCAATGTATATGAATAATTATTTTGCTATCTCCCAAAATTTACAATTGTATAAAAACAAAGGGACAAGCACAACACAGTACAACAGTCAATTCAGAGAGAAGGGGATAGATGGATAGTCATTTAGCAATGAAATCCTGATCTAGTAATAAATCGTATACTGAGAATATGAATAATAACAACTTTTTAGTCCCCGTTTGGACGCAGTCCGAAAACGGGGACTTATGTTTTGACCCTTGCCTGGACGAATCATAATCAAACTTCACACATACATCATACATGATACTGTGGAATACTTTATTTTCACTGGAATTAATTTTTGCTGAAAAGGCTTTTTGGGCATTCTTTGTGGAATTTATTTTCACTGATTTTTGATGAGTTGAATGTGAAATATAGGAAAAAAAGTATATTCGCTGGATTTTATTTTCACGGAGTCATCCCTTCAGCGAAAATAGCGAAAATAAATTCCAAGTGAAAAATAAAGTATTCTACAGTATTATACATATCCACATCAATTTGTTTCACGATCTGATTCAAGATGGCCGAATGGCGGCCATTTTTGTGCTAAAAAATCATCATAATCAAGCATTTTTCAGCTGTTTACAGATGGATTTTGTTCAAACTTGGTATATACATTAGACATTATGGGACCTTGATGCAAACAATTTTATTTTTCAAATCGGTTTCAAAATGGCTGACTGGCAGCCATTTTGTTTTAATGAATGGGCTTCTAGACCCATACTTCTGACTTGCTTTGACTGATTATGTTCAAATTTTTAATATTCATTATACATCATGTCATAGATTTACAGATATATTGGTTTGACAATCCTATTCAAAATGGCCGAATGGTGGCCATTTTTGTGCTAAAAAATCATCAAATATCAAGCATTTCTGGCATTTATGGATGGATTTCGTTCAAACTTAGTACATACATTAGAAATTACAGGTTCCTGATTCACATCATTTTATTTTTCAGATCGGATTCAAAATGGCTGATTAGCAGCCATTTTGTTTTAATGATTGGGCTTCTAGAGCCATATCTCTAACATGCTTTGACTGATTATGTTCAAATTTTGTGTATTTGTTATACATCATGTTATAGATATATATACATGTATTCAAAATGGCTGATTTTGTTTTAATTAATGCTGTTCCAGATGAATATCTCCCAATACTTGTTTGACGATCAGATACAAATGTCAATCATTTTAATGTTGAACAATCATAATAATCATATTCCTGACATGGTTATATTCCAGCTATATTACTATAAACAAAACTATACATCTTAAATTTGATAACTAACAGGGACTGTGCCATGCATGGCTTGTTATTTTTACCTTGCCCATATCATTAGGTGAAGATAAGGTCGGTATGACGAAAATGTCCGTTCTCCTCATTGTTGTCCCTGTCATAAAACATGACTAGCATGTAATGGCTATCGAGATATTTATGAAATTTAATGTAAAATGCTGAAATGACGACATTTACACTTCTAATACTAAAACAGATGTCAGTAACATACTCCACCCAATTTGTTACTTATATTGTGTTCATATATTTTAAAAACAGATTGTAGTGCATAAAAAATGAATGTGAACACTTTATGCTAGTATAAATATGGCAAGGTTAATCTTTTTACCACAAGTTCCATTTTTTTGTCACAAATTCACAAAATAGTTCCTTTTATAGACTGCACAAAGATTGGGATATAGATTGGAACAAAGATAGCCAAATTTTTGAGTAAAAACTAAACTGTTAACACTGATTTAAACAAAAAAAAACGGTGATTTTTTTTGCCTAAAAGCTGTTGATTTGCAATTTGCGAATGGTAAGCTGAGGGTGGAGGAAGTATTTAAACCTTTCAGTCACCAACAAGTCATGTTGAAGAATAGTTTACTCGTTCACACAGTCACACCCCATTCACGATAGTCTTAATGGACATAATTATTCGGAAAAGTAAAACTATATGATTTCACAACTTGACGATCACATTTTTGGCGTTTTGAAAGCTGCTCCTGAAGTTTTCGCATGAAAGCAGAAACCATACTACCGTACCAATCACAGTCTTTATGCAATGAAACTGACATATTACATGCATATTTTAATAAATGTTGTTGATGCCCGGTAAAAACACTTGGGGGCGGATCTATGATTCTGGAATGGGGGGGGGGGGGTAAGTTGACGCGAAAACAGGGACTTATAATTCGGTCTCCGTGTGTCCGTGAATCTGTGCGTCCGTGCGTCCGTCCGGAGTCATATCTCAGAATCCCTTGGACCGATTTCGTTCATTCTTTGCATGTGCCTAGTACTTTATGTGGGACATATGCACATGCAGTGGTTTAGCGATTCGATTCAAAATGGCCGACTGGCAGCCATCTTGTTTTTTGAAAATGTTGTATTTTGGACATGCTTTGTCAGTTTTCATTCAAACTTGATCCATAGATTATACATGTTAGGATACATGTCCATGATGATTTATTTCACAATTGGATCAAAGATGGCCGACTGGCAGCCATCTTGTTTTTTGAAAATGTTGTATTTTGGACATGCTTTGTCAGTTTTCATTCAAATTTAGTACATAGATCATACATGTTAGGATACATGTCCCCTACCGTCCGTGAGTTCCTGAGTCTGTCCGTCCGACCGTCCGTGTGTCCGTCCGTGCGTAAGTCTATCCAACGTCATATTTCAGAATCCTATGGACTGATTCCGTTCATTCTTTGCATGTGTCTAGTACCTTATGTGGGACATATGCACATGCAGTGGTTTAGCGATTCGATTCAAAATGGCCGACTGGCAGCCATCTTGTTTTTTTGAAAATGTTGTATTTCGGA